AAAGGCATAATTTATATTTATTTCCTAATTTTTTATGCTGGTTGCGAGATCATTCAAATCTACCGAACCCATACAGAGAATAATTACTTATAATAACAGATAAAATGCAAAGTTTTTCTTAAGAAACATTTGATAACTATCTCAACATTATAAAGATTTTGGTTTTGAAATTTCAAAATTTTCTGATTCATAAAAGTATTTTTAATCTTAAAATGAATATTACTTTGCATGATAGATAGGCAACATACGAGAAACAAAAGACACAAGAAAGGTATTGCTTTACAAATCTTAAAACTTAATTAAAAAATTGATATTTTTTATATGACAGCATTGTAATGTTTACTTATAATCTGCCAAATTTCGTTAACATTCGCTTACTAATATAAAAGTTGGAGCATGAAAACTATAACAAGCTCAAAATGATAATGAGGTCAGTCCCAGGGACCGAGCCCTGTGCTGAAAGAGTTCAATAAGTCTCCACTAAGTTATAGACATAGAGAAGAGAAAGCAGAAGTAGCTAAAACAAAAACTTTATCAGTGGTGGAGTAGAAAATAGAGAAGGACCTCAGATTGTTCAGTGGCAGTGTTGCCTTCAAATGTGAATTGTAAAAAAATTTGTGGAATAAGTAGCAGTAAAAAAACTAGAGCAAGATCTGAAATTGAGATGTGAGAGGTGCAAGACCAAAGAGATCCTCAATCTCAAATGTTAAGACCCACGCAGCATCCGGCAGTGTTTACATTACACATATTTGACCTTGTAGATTTCTAATTTGGGTGAATATTGATATTTTGGCAACGAAGCTAAAAGCTTTGGGAGTTTCAGATATTATCACACAATAAATATTTTCTATGCTGTACTTCATCTACTGAGAATTAAATTTTACCAAATAAGAAATCTTAATTTATTGAAATTGGCTCTGGTTTGCCACTATGATCCCCATTGAGTCTGGTTATTTTTAATACACACATGTTAAAAAGAGTGGTTCATAGTGGCAAGCCACAGCTGATTACAGTTTCTTCAGATTTCCATTTGTTAAATGGTTGTAAGAGCAAAGACTAACATTGATCATAACAATAGATAGCTCATGCAGGATAGTCATGGGTGTATTGTTAGGAGCTATGTGGAGAGATTGGACATCTAGTGTTTGACTGGTCAGTGGCAAAAATTGGGCAATTCAGTTTATTCAGAGCAGAAAATGAAGCATAGAGGGATGCACTTATCTGTGTGACCAATATTGGTGAAAATTATGACAGACTCATACTCGTGAAAGATTCCCTGTATTACATTTCAAATATAGAGCCTGGTTTAGTACAAAGAGAATGGATAAAACCTCTGAGATACTTAAAGGCTGATCTGATAATAACCTGTATTCCACGTCACTGTAGGATATTGTTCAATGAGTAAGTGAACTTAGTTGGTAAGGTGTAGCTCTTTGGGCAACCTGGTAATACCACTGATGTTATTAGTGAAATAGCATATAGACTGAGGAAACATAAAAAATAAAAAAAATAGAACAGATGTCACACTGGACAACTAAAAGACTGGAGGAAAGAAGGTGGAAGTGGAGTGGGTGTGAAAGTATGTGGGAAGGTCAGGTGCTACATAAGTGAAAGTGAATTGGGCATTTTTACTAGAAGAACCTTGAGGAGATTATTGGAGGGAAGAGAGCATAACATTTTAGAATTATTAAAATCATCTTATTTACACTGGGTGCCTGGCATTTGAAATAATTGTAATGCAAAAAACATACACAATAGTAATAAAGTAAAAGTGGCTGATTCCCTCTGGTTGGTTGTTCGGAATCGGGGATGGCACAACACTATCACAGCAGCATTGCACATTTACAAATGTTGCTGCAATGGCACTCCACAATTGTAGCAAGGAGGGCCTGTGTTTTGGTCAGTGCTAAACATGTAAAGTGTGCATTCATTAGGGACTGGGATGTTTGTATTTTTCACAGCACACTTATTTGTATAAGTAAATGTATTTTCAAGAATTCAGCTTAATAAAAATGTAAAACATATTTAAGACTATCTGATAGGCCTTATGTCTTTACTTAGATTAAAGTGATTTTTTTATAACGACTGTACAATGTATTTGCTGCTAGAGATCTAACTTTGCCTTTGTGCTGAATTTGCTTTCACCAGCCAGCTTTGTTCAAACCTGGTAACAACATGTAATTGCAAATAATAATACAAAAGTGTGTGATTACTAGCTAAGACATTCTAATACTACAATCACTGTATGTTGTAGGTGAGTTCACATAATGTGTAATTTTATGTTTTAGCCTGTTTAACACTTGGTTTAAAGAAGTGAAAAAAACAAACTGGGTGACAATATTTTATTTTCTATGTAAAATTCATGGGAAATCCCAGTAGTAGTTTGTTATGATCATTTTTGATGTTGAGGGTATTTTTGCCTAAATTTTATTTGTAACTAACAAACTCTTGGACCAAAAGTAGTTAATTTTAGGGTTAAGGTGTTGAACCTTGAGCTAACTTTTATATATTGTATGAATAGTATGTGGAAGCTTAAAACCTGAAGTTATTGTGCTTATGAAATATTAACATTTTGTTTTTTATTACTCATATTTTATAGGAAGGGCAGTGATGATGCTGACCTTGTACCAGCAAAACAAGCAAATGTCAAATGCCCTCAAGTTGTTATTAAATTCTATGAAGAACGACTGACTTGGCACACAAGCACCAATCACGAAGAAGATGGAGAGAAAGTAACAAAACCATCATAAATTCTTAGTTATCTGTTTTCTGCAACACCATTTAGTTATTTTATCTCAAATGTATTACTACAGGGTTTCATTTATGGCTTAAATAAGGCCATTTCACATAATCTGGGTTTGAAAAGTTCATACAAATTGTCACCTATTTTTCTAAAATTTCGTAGTGTTTTTGTTCTAAGAAAGGCAGCATGATTTCTATTTATGAAAGTACATTTTGTACTTTTAGTTTTATGTTTGAAATAATAACAGCTTAATTTACACCTTTAGAACCACATTTTTACACAGAATAGCATGACTCGTATTTTAAGTTCCTCTATGATGAAACCCTGTACTGTTTTAGTTACAAAAGAATGAGAGATTTTTTTTTTTTTGCTGTACATACATCTGATAACATCATACTGTTACTAAAGAGTGTTACACAGTAATAATGTATTCATACCACAATATTTGACATTTTATAGACAAATTAAGTTTGAAAATACCTTAAAATTCTAGAAACATTCAAGTTTTTAAAAATTGGTTACATAAAAGGGAAGATATTTCCAAATTTAGTGGTAACAAAGTTTTTATGAGCAACTGTTATTAAGACCACTAGTAATTTCATATTCTACCATGACATTACCTTTTTTTCTAGTTCATTTTTATATCAAAATTGGTTGTGTTTAGGAGTATTGCACAATTATTTGAAGTGTTTATCAAAACTTGTTTTAGAATTTTTACAGAACAAAGTTTTAAGCTTTTCTGTAATTGTCTCTAGTAAATAAGGTTTCTCTTATAGAATACATGTATTCAATTTGACAAAAAGTTAAATCACCTTTTGAAGTATAAATGAATGAGTGTTAACTTTTGCTTAAAAATATTCAATGAATTTTTCATAAAATATTTTCACAAAATTAAAGAAACAAATTAGATAACCAAGTTGTATTTGTTTCTGATTTTTCATCAGAAAAGCTACTGAAGTGAAAGGATGTACTTATTGATGGCTGATTTATTTTAGAATCATTAACATAGTTGTGAAGAAATAGTTTGGAGAAAAGTGAGAACTTCTTGTAAGTTTAAAATTTTCTAGAATAAAAATATTGAATATTCCATAGTAAATGTAATAACAGAATGTGACACTGCACTAGTCAGTGTAAAATAAGCTTTGCAAATAATAGTTGTGTACTGTCTTATTACATTTTTGTTTTTTCTTAAAGAAATAAATAAATTTAATTGAATTAACTAAAACTCTTATATTTCACCTTTAAGGGATGTCATGTATTCTGTATTAATTCTGGGTAACCATTTTATCAGAAAGCTATGAAAAATATTTTCTTACTTTTCTGGGAGAATATTTGATTTCAGTAATTAATTCTAAGAATTCCTCTGTAAATGTAATGTTAACATTTCTCATGTATCATCATTGTATCCGAAAATAAAATACTTTTTTTTATTATTTCAGTCATCTGTAAAATTTATATTTTTCAAAATTAACTACTCCACACAAAAATATTGAATGCTTTATAAATTATCTAATTTAAAAATTAATCTATGTTTTGGACATTAGTTGTTTTTTTTTAGATTTATACATGTTGTTAGCAATTAATATCCAGAAAATACTTGTCCTTCATTTTACTCTAATAGTGTATACTCTTTTGATGGATAATACTTGGTCTATTTGAATTTCTGTTGTTTCATAATAGTTACAAAATTACAAAAAACTTCATTCAAATATCAGATAATTTAGAAATATTCTTAAGCAGATTTTAATAATTAGAGTGTTGTGTACTTGAATAAATAAGTTTTGGCATGGTGTAAGACATCTAGTATTTGTTCTTTATTGTGTATTTTACAATAAAACTCAAATAACTTTTCAGCTTTATATACCTAAGATAACCATTGAACTGATAAGATTTGATTCTAGTGAAGTCTTAATATATATATGTGTGTGTGTGTGTGTGTGAAAATAGAACAAGGTATTAGACAAAAGCTTGTTTTTTCAACAACAAAGAAAACCCCAGTATTAACTGAATTTATTAACTTTTCTATAAAGTCATTGAAGTAGTGATTAACCTGGGCAAGATGATTCTCTAATCTGATAGCCCAAGATTATAAAATGTTGTGAAGTACATGAATTACAGGATATTAAAAAATTGATGTGTTCTTGGAGGAGTCCATTCAATGAATAATATAACATCACAAAAACAACTGAGGTTGATAACAATAAAATACTATTGAAGTGGACAGACATTCATTTGATGGGATCTTGTATAAGTTCTGGTAATCATTTTGTCAAATTCACAGTGAATTTACAATATGTAATAATGGTGAATGTGAATGGGTATTATTAACTGTATGGTCTGTGCAGTTTGTTCTTCTAAGATGTGATTATTTTGGAAGGACAAGGATATACAAATTGTTCGTCACCCCCAAAAAATATATGAATTTTATTATTATTATTATTATTATAGTATAGATGCATTAAAACATTGTGTAATTTGTACCACCAGTCAGTAAATTGTTAGTATGGAAGTGTGCGCGTGCAGGGGAGATGGAGGACTGCTTTTATTGTAACATTGTTTTTTTATATATAAAAATGGTTTTAGATGTGCACATTTTAGTTAGAACTACATCAACCTGTGGGAACTATATCCTATTCATGTGTGTTGATGTCATTTTTATGTCTACTGGTCATGACTTTAGAAACAAATTACTTCACGTCCTGATGCAATAGTACAAGCCACGTGACAAATTGTTCTAATCCAGTTTTGAAATGTAATTTATTGAGACATTTTTGGATTGTATAATTTTTTCTGTTTCCATGTGTACAATAATTTTATTGTAATTCTTTTCATTTTATAAAATCAAAGCACTATTTCGTTTTACAACAAATCCAGTCCAACAAAATCTATTGTGATACGTATTTGAGAATATTAAACATAGGAGGGTAACTACGAATGATAAGTTTAACATGTTACCTGATTAAAACGTTAAAAATCAATATAAAAAAAAGTCACCGAATTTTATTAGTTTGTATTTTCACAACTTGCTATTGGCTTTAGCATAAATGCAAATTTAGTTTTTAATTCATAGAGGGAGGAAAATAACTTACCCTATTTAGTGATACAAAATGGTGTATAATGCGAAGTAGTTATGTTTGTACAGCAAATTAAAGGATTTATTTTCTAGAAATCGTCGCTAAATTTGTTTTGTTTTTGAGGTTGGACCCGAAGTATTGACCTTTAAAGGCTGGTTGTGATCACAAGAGTAGGTTTCACGGTTGAAGTTGAAACCCAATACATTGACGATACGATGTTTGTATTGATCTTGAGATATAGCAAGAATCAAACGTGATTGATAGAGTTCTAGATTTGTTACTACAGTAGTACACCGGTAACGAAAAATCATACGAGAACATGATTGAGCTATACGGTACACAATTAGTGGTGACCTTGGTAACATGACAAACCTTTCACGGACAATGTTTGTTTCTGTCTTTGAAGTATTAGTTTTTGCACTCACTTTACCTACTGAAAGTTTTGTGATTACTGTTTATGTACAGTGAAGTTCAGATCATTTGTCTTTAGTTTGATTTGCTTTACATCACACTTCTAGTTGTAACCTAGCTGTCCGTGCAACGGCTTGCGCTTTCTACTTTGAACAAGTTGTGCTTAACAGAATTAATACCTGTAGCTAGCGAGGATAGTTGTGTTGACGTATATCAACGAAAGTTAATAAACCTTATCTAGTATTGGCTGGCCAGAGCAACTCTGTAGCTAAATGCAAGAGCATAGGTGAACGAGTTTGAATTTGGATGATCTAATAATTAACAAGTTCGTGTTCTCGTCAATTGCACTTAATTTTGCGGCATTGATACATTTCTGTTTATTTTTTATACACACGTGCATGGTACAGGCCGGTACCATATGTTTATTACACTCTCAGTTAATATATAAATTTTCTGAAATGTCAGTAAGTTTAGTGTGGACTTAGAAAATGTTGAATAAGCAACAGTAATTTTTTTTATTCTAGTTGCGCATGAGCTACTGCCATTGGTCATTAAACGCACTGCCCTCTAGGAAAAATAGCTGTACCTTCACTTGTGATGTTTCAGAACAAACCACTGTCTTTTCTGTCAGTCAATCACGTAACGCCCTGGGGTTTCCTCGCCCCCTGTGACCGAGAAAGAGTGGACTGGAATGGTGTGTGTGTGTGTGTGTACCGTGAGCAGCCTGGTTTTATTTATATTGTAATGTTTTGGCACTTAAAAAACCAGACTCTCCCCTGTTAAGTAGCGTTATTTCACATAACTGTACGAGACTTTAAAGACATTCAGACTTAAGAGTTCTGTTTAGCTCTTCTTTTTTTTTTAAGTAGAGGATATTTTCATTTCAAGCTTTCTATTTTAGGTTATGTGGAGGAGGGGGGGGGGAGGTACCACTGAACTGCTGAGAGAGCCAATAAAGGTTTCTTTTCACACTATCTCTTGCCAGTTCCACACTCACACAGCAAACAGTTGCACTTGTCTTGTATATTGTTTGTGACTGTTATAATAAAGATTGTTGTTTGTGTTTTTGTGTACTGGCTCTTTCTTTGTGAGGAACCCAGTCGGAGTTCAAAGAGAAACGAACCCGTACTCTGTAACAGTATAAATTAAACTCTTGCTTAGGGGCCCTGCCCATTTACTTTAAAGAAAATAAACGCAACTGATAATACTACACGTGCATTTAAATCAATCTAGCATTGGAGCCTTCGACTCGTGCTTAAAAGCTCCACAATAAGCATGTTCACCTATAAAATATGCTAGAGGCACCACTGAAATAAATATTTTCAAGTACTTTTTTTAAAACATCTGCTGATTTTTATTTTTTACTTCGGTATTTCTACTAATAATATAGGTGAAGATGTAATTTTAAAAAAAATTATGTAGGGATGGTAGTGCCAAAAAGAATGCAAACCAGAATATAGGGATGGTCTTCTTGTTTGCATTCTTTTGGCACTGCCATCCTCTACACTTACAAAACATTTCTTGTTTTTCCCCCTGACCGAAAGTTATTGTATTCTATGAACGCGTGTAACAAAATTTAATATCAGATGCATTGATTTTTTTACTTCACTTCATACATAATATAGGAGTTAACTCCCTAAAGACACTAATTGTATAGTGTACAAAGTATTGAAGATTCTACTTGTTAAAGTCATCTGGTGTTCATCTATTATTGGCTGGTAATTCCTGTTTCACCCTGTATTTAAGCCTTTTAAAGGAACCCAGATTTCTGTAAAAGGGGTAATGATAACATCGTTTACATTAGAATTGTGATTTTTTAAAAATTACTACTAGTTAGTACGACTAAGCGATGACATCGTTCACTCCTCGGAAACACTCAGAGTGGATTTAGGTTTCAACTGACGTTAATGATAAAGTAAATGTAGAGTTATCTCGACTGAAGCAAGAAGAAATATGAACAATTTGGTAGGTTGGTCACTTTCTTGTTTGGTTTCTTGACTTGTTGGGTAGGGCACGGCATGGCCAGGTGGTTAGGGCGCTCGACTCGCAATCTGAGGGTCGCGGGTTGCCATCCTCTACACTTACAAAACATTTTTTGTTTTTCCCCCTGACCGAAAGTTATTGTATTCTATGAACGCGTGTAACAAAATTTAATATTAGGTGTATTGATTTTTTTACTTCACTTCATACATAATATAGGAGTTAACTCCCTAAAGACACTAATTGTATAGTGTACAAAGCATTGAAGATTCTACTTGTTAAAGTCATCTGGTGTTCATCTATTATTGGCTGATAATTCCTGTTTCACCCTGTATTTAAGCCTTTTAAAGGAACCCAGATTTCTGTAAAAGGGGTAATGATAACATCGTTTACATTAGAATTGTGATTTTTTAAAAATTACTACTAGTTAGTACGACTAAGCGATGACATCGTTCACTCCTCGGAAACACTCAGAGTGGATTTAGGTTTCAACTGACGTTAATGATAAAGTAAATGTAGAGTTATCTCGACTGAAGCAAGAAGAAATATGAACAATTTGGTAGGTTGGTCACTTTCTTGTTTGGTTTCTTGACTTGTTGGGTAGGGCACGGCATGGCCAGGTGGTTAGGGCGCTCGACTCGCAATCTGAGGGTCGCGGGTTCGAATCCTCGTCACACCAATCACATTATTCATTGGTAAAATAGTTGGCAGTGGGTGGTGATGACTAGCTGCCTTCTCTCTAGCCTGTTACTGCTAAATTAGGGACGGCTAGCACAGATAGCACTCGTGTAGCTTTGCGCGAAGTTCAAAAACAAACAAACTTGTTAGGTAAAGAAAGAAATGAAAATGAGTAGCAATCATCTTTTAAAGTAAAACTCTGTAAATGTTTATTTTTAGCGTACATATTTGTATTAAGTCCTTGACCATCCCTATATATAGAGTATACCGACTTTATTATAATGATACAATCCAT